GCTTCATTCATGCAGAAGTATCCTTCTTAGTAAAACAGATAAAAACTGCAGTTTGGAAATCTGTACAAGATCTGTGCTGCTTTTGCCTACAACACAGAAATATCTTCTCATCTGTGTGAGCAATGTTGTATGCAGAAATAAAAATACATGTGTATGTGTAATGGCTTTGATGGAGAAGGCAAACAGAGCATAATCCTTCAAAAACCTAGTGTGTGGCAAGAAGCAGCATGGAGTGAGGCAGAAAAATATGAACAGTTGAGAAAAATAAAACCAAAAATTTTGTCCATAGGATGCTGCCATACTTCTGCTCTTGAATAAACAAGTGTCTCACTGAAGTCAGTGTGACCTGCAGGCCCAGAATGAAGCTGCAAACATTCAAGTACTTCTTTTTAAAGACATTTTGTCTCTGAATGTCTTCTTTTTTTTGAACAAGTGAACAATTCTGTGTTATACCTCCTATTTAATGGAAATACATTTGGAAGGTTTCTTGGCTGTGACCAGAGACATTCAGCGCTGCTAATTTAGATTTGCTTCTTTTGTTATCCTCTAAATAACTTGCTCTTTTCATAGGTATAGCTTTTCCAAATTGCCTTCTCCTGAATTCCTTTTTTTTTTATTTCCTATTAATGCTGCTCTTCAAAAAAATAAAAGCAAATTAAAGAAATACCAGCCACTAGACTGCAACTAATCAGTGAGATACTTCATATTTCCAGTCTTTTGAATACTATTGAATGCTTCCTTACAATGGCTATCAGATAACTTTCTCCATGTAGCACGAAGGCAAATTTCAGGCAAAACCTTATCACTGCACATAAGATATTGCCACTCTTATGCTTTGCATTCATGCAGCCCCATTCTTGCTTGCTATTAACGATTCAGCAAATTGTAAAATAACAGCAATGCTGCACCTTCCTTGAGGAATATGCTCCCCCTAGCACTTGCATAAATATTATCCCAATCAATAACCTAGTAATTAAAGTCACCAGCATTTTGGCCTTTTTACAAGACTCCTTATCTAATAAAAAAAAAAAAAAAAACATTTCTTGCATTACTATTTCCAACTGCCCTGGAAACAGAACAAGAATTGTTCAGCCACCCCTTTGTCCTTAACCCCCAAATTAGCTATTGCTGTAAAGTCACAGAAAATCATTCTGGTTTTCTCTGCAGACATAGCCTCATTTTCTCCCTGAGTATCACTTCTTCCTTTTCTCATTCTTGGTTTATAAATAAACCATAAATTCTGACTTTGAGAACACGTTTTAGTTTTGTCTCGGGGTTCTTTTTGTTGAAGGGCGTTGATTTTGTTTTGATTTACCTTCAGTAATAAAAAAAAAAAAATAAAAAAAAATAAAAAAACAAGAAACTGAGATGCTAAGAACAGGAAAACTCTGGTAAGCAAATGAGTGAGTCTGACAAAGATTCAATTATCTCCAGTGCTCAGCTACCAGAACATATCAAGGGTGAAATCCTACCCCCATTAAAGTCAATGGGAGTTTTGTCGTTGTCTTTGTCTCGTCAGGAATCTCATTCTAGAAATATTGGAGGTGACAAAAAGGAAGAAACCTGCATGGAGGACAGAGCAGGCTTACCTGGAGACTTCAAAAAAGCAGCACTTGTAAGGATTGAAATTCAACTCCAGAACTTTCTAGATCATGTAATTTTTGAAAGCTTAAGCAGACAGAATATCCTGCTGTGAGAGTAGGATATGGTTATTCACAAACTTTAGGAAAACTGCATGACTTTGAACACAGTTTTCCCAGCATCTGGTGATGAAGGGCCACATCCTGCTCTCATTGCAAATGAATTCCTTTAAACCAAGAGCATGGCATACACCTGCCCATCCAGCCCTTGCATTTCTTCAGCCTTTGCTATCAAACGCCTCAACCTCAAGCTAATTTTATTGCAGCAATATTTTGCTACAGAAAAAAAAATCTCCAAGACATGATCCAATGGGAAAGCAAAAGACTTTCCCCCTCTTTGTCCCAAGAAATACAAAGGAAAGTCACATGAAAGAAGTGTTGCTCATTAATAGGCCAATGTAGAATACTGCTGCAACTGGCTGACAGAGCTGTTTGTCCATTTTTTCCTACAATTTCTGCCCAAACAGAAAGTGCAACCAACATAAACCAGCACTTTACCATCCCAGCAGAGGAATGTACTGAAGAGATGTGGCCCTGCCTGTTGGTACCAGCTGTATTTTGAGAGGGCACAAGTCCCAGCCAGACATGTCTAAGCAGCTGCCTACCCTTAGTGTGTGCACCCATGATTAGAGAGATATGACTCTGCTAATCCAGCCCTGATTTGGGAAGAAGGATTCATATTTAGGCCGCCACATAAGCTTCCAGGACCAGAGAAAAAGAGTCAGTTGAGGCTGCTTAATCAGGTAGAGATGATTCATTTGAGTAAACCTGTGCCATGACCTTTCATGAGTCTCTGAGCTCAGACAGGATGTCAAATTTTTATGAAGAAAAGAGGTGTAATCAATTAGTGCTTATGATGACCTTTTAATAAGTAAATGATTGAGGCAGACACTCATTCTGAACAGAATGAGAAATTGGATTTGTATGTGTGTCTAGTGTTGCCTGGGGAAGGCAATGAAATCCACCTCCATGCTTGATCTATTAGCCCACTCCAGCCAAAATATAACCTCAAAGGAAGTTGTAGTCAGGAGGGGGCCAGCATCTTCTTCAAGGTAACTAGTGAAGGGACAAGAGGACATAGCCTCCAAGTTCAGGCTGGGCATCAGGAAGAATTTCATCATATGAAGAGTTGTCAAGCATTGGAAGGCGCTGCCCGGGGGGGTTGTGGAATCACCACCCCCGGAGGTGTTCAAGAAACAGCTGGACATGACATTCAGTGCTATTGTTTAGCTGACAAGGTCACCACCTTGTCCACCGGTCAAAGGTTGGACTCGATGATCTCTGAGGTCTTTTCCAGCCTGAATGATCCTGTGACATATATACAGACACACATATACACACGGCCGGAACAGACATAGAGTACGGGGGTGCAGAATGGGCAAAAACCGCAGAGGTTTGTACATGCCACGAGGAGCCACGGCTCGGTCACACCGGGGGACGCGGGAGCGCTGCTCCCGCGGGAGCCGCAGGCGAGGCCCCCCCGGCAGCGGGAGGAGGAGGAGGAGCGGGGGTTTTCCGCGGAGCCGGTGCCGAGCCCGGGGCCGCGACAGGTGCGGCGGCGGCGGCCCCCGGCCGAGAGCAGCCGCCAAGCGCGGCCGGCGGGACACGGGGCGAGCAGGGGCGATGTGGCACCTGCCGCGCATAAAAGTGATGGAGCGGCGGGGCGGCGGCGGGCGCGATGCGGGGCGGCGGGGGCGCGGCGGGCGCGGGGCAGGCGCGGGGGGCGGCGGGCGCGGGGCGGCGGCGGCGGGCGCGGGGCGGCGGCGGGCGGCGGGCGGCGGCCAACGCGCGGGAGCGGGACCGCACGCACAGCGTCAACACGGCCTTCGGCGCCCTCCGCCGGCTCATCCCCACCCGCCCGGCCGACCGCCGCCTCTCCAAGGTGGAGACGCTGCGCCTGGCGTCCAGCTACATCTCGCACCTGGCCAACGTGCTGCTGCTGCAGCAGCGCCGGCAGGACGAGGCGGCCGCCGCCGAGCAGCCCTGCCCGCAACCCTGTCCGCAAGCCTGCTCGCAACCCTGCCCGCAGCCCGCCCAGCCCCCGCAGCCCTGCCCGCAGCCCTGCCCGCAGCCCTGCTCGCCACCAGGTGCCTCCGCGCCTCGGTCCATCTGCACCTTCTGCCTCAGCGACCAGCGGCAGCGGGTAAGGGCCGGCTTCCGGACGCCTCTTGCGGCTCTGTTGGGGAGGGTGGTTATTGGTAGCCCCCTCTGGTTTGGGATCGAACCAACCAAGGGTTCGGTGCTGTCCTTGGTACCTCCTAACCTGTGTTTTTATCCATCGAACAGCACCGAGAAAAAGAGAAACCATCACCTGGTCCAGCCGTAACCGGACTCTGAACAGGCTGAGGGTCTCGCACCACTCCTGCTCTGACTGTACCACTGCTCTGGGTAACATCGCCTCACTCGTGCTGCACGTTTACACTTAGATAGCACAGTCCTAAAAGAGTTACTTTTTAAGCCTATGCACTTTGTTTCATATTGTGAGGGGTTTTTTCAGGGTGTTTTGCAAATGAAATTCTCTGCCTCTGTTGAGACGGTTGCACCTGGTGCGGCAGCTATTTTAGCGCGAGAAATGTTAAACCTCAGCAGCCAAGCCCTGATCCTGATGCCTCCTAAACCTGTGTCGCATGATGAAACTTGAACTTCCAAACACACGGTGTCCCCTGTCAGGGGAACTGCCGTGAACACGCCGTGCCCTACGCCTCCAGCCCAGCCCGGGCTGCACGCAGCGCTGCCGCCCACTCCTCCAGCTGCACGCCAGCCCTCGGGGACAGGGGCCGATGCCGACAGCTGACATGCTTGAGAGGTCTCAGCGATGCTGGAAGATTATTTTGAGGTGTTCACAGAAAGTCGGAAAACTTCCAGCGAAAGCAGCCCGGTTGGCTGTGCACAGGCGCTGCAGCACGGGATGTATCCAGCACAGGAGAGGAAAGGGGAGAAGTGCAGTGTAAGCGATGCTCTTTTCTTATTAACAGGGCGAGTCGTGCCAGTCCTTTAAATAGCACAGGATATTCCTAAATCTGCCGGGCAAGGAGGGTTTCCCAAGGGCTTTTGCCCATCACCCAGGTAGTTCCATAACTGCCCTGTACATCACTGAGGTTGTTTCTCCCCTCAGTTTACTAACTTGTGTACTTTTTTTCAGAAGTAACTGTAAAAGGCAAATAAGATTTTCTATTTTCAGATTTGGACATTAGTGAAGCAGCAAGCTAAAATCTTAAACCCCAGTAATGCTGGGGTCTAAGAAACACAGAGATAGGTTAATTTTGCAATGTTTTTTATAGCTATTTATAATACAATTAATTAGGCTTTAATTAATCTAAACTCGTTATTTGGGGAGGCACTCTGTAACTGTAACCACTCCAAGTGCTGCAAGGAAAACTTTCCTTTTTCCTCCCCTGATGCCATCTGTGCAGTGCTCCTGGCCAGCCTTGCTGCTCTGGTCAAACTTAAGGGCTGAAGAAGCAGCTCTGTGTTGTTCACTTTCTTTTCTGTAGAGAGTTTTCTCTCCTTGCCCTACATAAGTGCAAAGCAAAATCTGGCAGTCGTTATGAAGAACTTGGCAAGAGCAAGGTCGTGGTGTACTCCTACACAACTTCACCTTTTCAGTTTCCCTTTTCCCCTGCTCAACATACAGCGGCCACTTTTTCTGTAGCACAATGAGGAAAAATCTGCTGCACCTACAGAAATGCAATGAGCTCTTCCTTTGAATTCTAACAAAGCAAAATCCCAGCGATTCCACATCACGTCAGTCTCTTCAGTTATTAAAAGCTACAGGCTGTATTTTCCTGGATTGAGGGGAGATTCTTGTTTTTAGAAGGTTTCTATCATTAATCTTTTTTTTAATGGGGAACTTCCAATTGCTGCCAAGTCATGGTCTTTGCTTTGGCACTGATTTGTGAAACTGGAACTCTTTATAGCTTTGTACAGTGTTTTTTAATTTTTTTGTTGTGTCAGCCTCTGTGTGTGGGTATAGAGTTCTGCAAACATACCTTCCTGGATTTTTTTTTTAATCAATTTGAAAAAAATTGTTTTTTAAAAAGTCATTTGCTTTACAATTAAAGCTGCTCTTACAACTTAAAGCTGACAGTTTGGCCCAACATTCTTATGAACACATTAAACCAAAACATCTGACCTCTTTATAGACAATTAACACTAATTTATTCATTTAGCTGTATCATTTCATATGATACCCTAAAATGGCAAAACATAATGCAGTTTCAAACAATTTTAGGAAAATTTTACATTGCGTATGCCCTGAATTTTGAATTTTGTAGGAAAGACAATAAAATTATTTATTTCAGGTTTTCAAAATGCTGTGATTTTTTTACAGTTTTAAGAGTTTTTAGTGTAGCTCTTGGCAAATGAAATATATTTGGATTTAATAAGATATCTTTATACTTAGTTATTAAAGGAAATGAGTACAAAATGTGAGGTCCATTTTTGTACCAAAGTATGAGCTGAAATCTCATAACTCAAAACTCTCATGAATAATTTCTACAATCCTATAGGAATTTGATGTTCTCCCTCTAATGAGGATTTTATCTCCCTAGTTTTGCAAAGGGTTTATACCAAATACTTTTCAATGACAAAAGCAGGAGCAGGCCCTAACAACTTAGCCTTCTCTCCTGTTTAATGTGGCTCAGTGTACCATTAAATTCTCTCTTTACTCAGGATAAACTGTTGAATTCAACTGGGCTTGGAGATTTTCTCAGGGTTTCAATTACTAAATAATGCAGGAGTTTCAGTAACACTGATTGATCATGGCAGAAATTAGACCCCAGAGTACTGTGGCCCAAATATTTATGGTATAGACAGATAATGTCTATCCAAAGCAATTATAACCGTGATTTCTCTGAGGAACATTTATATATGTGTAACTCTGTGTATTTAAATTAGGAAAATTGGGGACAAGTCCTTAACTTTGCTGAAATTTATTTGTAATGTAAAACTTCTCTAACCCCAGGAGCAGAAAAAAAAAAGATACAGGATTGAGCTGTTACTCTGTAATGGATTTTCTATAAATCAAGGGAAAAAAAAGAATTTAATTTCTGGAGACACAGATGAATTGAGGGCTTGGATTGCACATATAAAGAGCTCATCATCATTAGGTGTTTTACTGAGTTTTTACTGTATGAGCTTGTGTGTCTTATCAGTCCTTTTTTTTAATCATGGAGCAGCGTTATCCATGGCATGCAAAATATAAAAGTCAAAATCTTGAGGGTGTCTGAGAGCAAGTACCTTACTTGAGGTAATTGACCAATGAGGCATTGGAATTATGTGAGTTTTTCCAGAGGTGCCAAACAGCCTCTTGTTCTGCAGATATTGGGGGTTTGACTTATTTGTGAGCACATTCTGTTCTGTATGTATGAACAGAGGCATGCCTGATGCCAATCCCAGCTTTGTTTTCCTGTAAACACTTGGCTATTCAATTTATGATGCATGAATAAAGCAGAAACAGTGACATATACACCAATTGGTCTCAGATCCTATTAAATTATTGTTAAAATAATCCAAGCATAGTACTTTGTGTAAATCATTGTACTTAGCCTGCTACATCACTGTATAAAAACAGCACCAAGCAAAGTGAATAAATCATGTTGTTTGATTTTACAGGTTAAGTTTAAAGAAGCATTTGAACATAGTTCTTAGTTATTTATGAATTAATCATAATGTAAGTCAAAGTAGTTTCATATGTTGCCTTCTATTTTCACTGCTGTTCTACAAAACAGAAGTTTCCTTTCATGGAAAATCTGCTTCTTTACAAAAATCTGTATTTGTTTGCAAAATGTGATTACATTTGCTAAAATAAACTATTTTTGTTACTAATTTAAACAATAAACTGCAAACACTAGGCTGGAAGTTCTCTTCCACAGCCATCTCAAGATACAAGTATTTAATTATTTTCTTTACCTTTTTCAAATCTATCTCTCCAAGATTTCAGCAGCATACTGACATGTGTATGAATGCACCATGTGTGTGCATTGGCAGGAGAGAAGAGAGGTGGGTGGAAGCTTGGGAAAATGAAAAGTGAGCTCCTCTGCTCAGGGCCTGAACAATATCCTAAGTGCCAAACACAGGAGGAGATGGAGGGAGGGAAAGGATGGGGCAGAACAGAGGGAGAAGAAAGGAAGAGAATTCATCAGGAATTTCATCAGGGCAGACAAGCAAAAGAGGCTGGAGCGTGAGCAGTTCCTGCCATGTTTCTGTGCTCTGGACGGTTGCACTGAGAGAATAACACCAAAATTTATATAAAACTTAAACTGACTGCCTAAATAACACCTTTGAAAAGAGAGAATGATGTCTTGATTAATAATAAGAGCTACTGAATAATACAAGGCAAGGAGAAAGAATTTATGTAAAATTAGCTAAAATAGACAGCATGCTACAAAGGCAAGAGATCTGGGAGATCTCTTACACCAGGAATCCTTTGAAGGTTGAAGAAAAATGTTTTGAATGAATCAACATGTGGAGTGTGAGGGAAGAAAAAAAATTATTACTGAGATAAAAAATACCATAGAGTTTAATGAAAGCCTAGGGGGGAAAAACCCATTTCTTAATAGTGAGAAGAACTAAACTGGCTGCTCTGGATGTATTTCTTCAAAAACCTTCTCAAAATTTGAATATACATTCATATCCAGGCAGCCCAGGTTCTATTTCAAGTGAAATCCTTTAGCAGTTACAACATAATACAAAGTTTTAGAAACCTTGAAGATTCATCCCACTTTTGACATTGTACAGCAAGGAACACAGGCTTCCTCAGAAGAGGAAGGAGAAAGAGAAGGCATGGATGAATAAAGAGTAACCCACCACGGAGGATATTCCCCATGATGCCAAGAAATCTCTCTCTTTGTAAGGATTTGACATCTTGATAGAAGTAAACTATGGTGAACCAAAAAAAAGTGATCTCTGTTTTGGTGATAGATAAAATGTAGCAAAATACTTAAGACAAAAGTTGCTTTAGAAAGGCCTTATCTACTCTCATTTAGGTCATTCACATCACAGAAGTGTTGTGAGATTTTAATTAACAATTTGGAAATCACTATGTGTTCTTCCAAAGGAGGAGCCAATATAAATAAGACAATTACACTGAAATGGGTGATGGAACAAGGAAGTGATAAAAGTAATTCTACCTGTAATGGCATCTCTCTCCAACATCTTATTGTGTTTCCTTCATGTTATTAAAATAAGCCCTACTTTCCAAGCATATGTATGCAGATCATTTTTAAATGCAAAGATTGCACGAACAGGTAATTATTTCAATAAGACAGTGGAGTTTGGTGGGAAGGGTAGGCATCTGTCAGGCTCAGATAAGATCAGACAGCTGTGCTCTATCCTGAAAGGGTGCCATGAAGCTCAGTTTTCCTAGGGAAATAACATCTTCGGTATGAAAAGCAGCAAAATGAAGTCTCCAAACAAATAAGTAGAGAAAACATGAACTCTCAGAGCTCATTTTAATATAAAATACCAACTCTATATCAGGTGAAAAGATGCAGCATGAGAGAAGGATAACAACATCTTTACTAAACAGTAAAATATAAAGAGCAGGAGAATCTTTTCACTCTATAGTCTCAAATTAATCCTTTATATTAAAAAAAAAGGTGACTTTAGCAACAATAATCTCTGCAAAGAGCCACTGGGACAGCACGAGGATTGGGACACAGGACACCCAGGACAGGCTGTAGGAAGTGGGATGGTTAAAATGGAGCCAAGAAGGTGGAAATCCAACAGCAGTCTCACAACAGCTCCATGGAATGGTAAAGCCAGGCTTTCCCAAGGGACACACAATGAAAGCACAAGCAGCAAAAAGCACAAGGTGCAATAATTGAATCTTTATTTTCTTTTACTTAAGGAAGAAAGCTTCTCACCACAAGCACGGTTAAGCACTGGAACAGGTCAGCCAGGGAGGCTGTGGAAGCCTCTTCCTTGAGAGCCTCAGAACTTGACATTGAGGGCCCAGTTGGGTCTAACTTTGAAGTCAGCCTTGCTTTGAAAATGGAAGATATATCAAATAACTCAAAAAGTCCTTTTCAATCTAATTTTCCCATGATTTTATGAAATGATGAGCTTAGGGCTCTCTGGAAAGAAAGTTTGTAGAATAAAATAAAAAGAAAAATGCAAGGACTTCACAGGAAAAACCCAAACTTTTGGTCATGCCAGGATCTATTATGCCAGACAAGATGAGGGGCATCCAGGTATGCATATCAAGAGGGGAGCAAAAAAGATTCCTGGAGAAAGCAGGAACCCAATAGGCCTATAAAGGGGATTTAAAAAAATAGCAACAGTCAAGATTCCCTGAATTATGTCTGAAACATCTGGCTTGGTGGGAAATCTGTTAAAAGTTGTAACTTAGAAGAATATTAGAAGTAGAGAAGTATCTTAACTACTGTGTCTGTGCAAATGAAATGATGGAAGGGACTTGAGATTGTGAATGCCAAACTAGGTAACAGTGAAAGAGGATATCTGTACCTTAACTAATAAATGTCTCCCAAAGACACCAGCAGCAGTGTAAAAAGAATAACAAAAATAATAACTAAAAATAACAAAAATAACAAAAATAATAAAAATAATAAAAATAAGAGATGCTGAAGTTTTCAAGGGTAACATTTAAAGAACCTGTGGTGCTTCTAGTACTTGGAGCCTGAGAATATACTAAATACATGCATATACAACAATTAGAGTGTCAGAAATGCACAACAGAAGTTTTAGCATCGTGGTAAGAGGTATAACAAAGTGATTCAAGATATATCCATGGGAAATAGGCACCAGGCTGCAGGGAGTAAGGTCCTATTGTGTGTTGTTTTGTTACCACTGCAACCGATTATTTTTATTTGCCACACTGCTCAAAGAAAACCTGAGTGGAAAAGACAGGCTTTAATAACAGGTGCTGTGAAAGATAACAGGATAAGTGAGAGTTTCTGGCTGATGTAAGAGGCAGTCTCTGGAACTCTCAGTATCTACAGCAGTGTGAAACACCAACCCTGGAGCAGCCAAGCATAGGTCAGGCACACTGAAGCACGAGCAGCGGCCAGCAAGACAGTCCCAAAGAGAAACAGCCAACAGCAGCAACCCACAACGTTCCTGCGCTGCACAAAACCGAGCTGAAACCAGCCAGAGGCAGCAGGAAAATCAAAGACCACTTTTCTGCTACATAAAACATGTTAGTGCTTATTTTAGCCTCTGCAATGAGATGGAGCAGAAACAAAATGTACGTTATGGGGAGCCTCTGCATTCCAGCAAATGCCGCAACATTGCCGTGTCCTCCATCACACAATCCTTTGGCACATGGCAGCTGTCACCAACGTATTGCAAATGAGCAGATCCTCTTCTCTCCAGGAATTGTTTCTCTCTGCCATCTTGGTGTGCTTGCCTCTCCTCAAGTGGCTCAGCTTTGGGAAATGCACAGGAAAAATTACTTGAAATATCACCACTGTTAGGAAAACACCGCCGCTCTTGAAATGTTTTAATTAAGATGGTTAAACTGTTTAATTGAAACTATTTAAAAGGCTTATTCTCATTTTCATTATGAACTTTAGAGATCTTATGGCCTCAAAGAGTACAAAGGGGTCCAAAAGTCTCCATAATGTGAATAAGAATTAGTGAATTTACTTTTACTGGCATTATTTATAGTTAGTGATCTTCTCATGTTAGCTTAATTATCATGTGATTCTAAAAGGCTAATAATTTCACTCCATTACTCTCCAGATCTGCTTCTCTTTTACAAGCAGTTTAACAGATGAAAAAAAAAAATTAAAAAAGTAAAAAGAAAAATTAAGAGTCAAAGTAATGCAGAAAATCAAAGCTGTTAAAAGAAGGCTGGGCATTTGCTGAACCAGTGATTCAGAATTTGTTGCTCACCACCTCCATCTGCTGAAAGTTTCTGCCTGTACCAGCAGAAACAAGTCAAATGTTGTAGGTACCACTGCTCCTGGACAGAAAACAGCTTAAAATATATCAGTAGCAGTTCCAAAGAATGTGTTGGTTCTGGTGGGTGAGGCTCTGGTTTCTTTTGCCAGCTCTGCTAGTCCCTTATTCTGCCACAGACAATGACAATGCCTTCTAAAACTGTACAGTCAGGTAATGCTGGAATTTACCTCTTAATATCCAAACTCATCTGATTTTCAACAAGATTGGGGTCTTTGAAAATGAAACTAAGGCTTTATGGGGGAAAATTTGCTAGGATTCAGATGCTGAATAAAAATCACAATGCATACAAAAATCAACATCTACACACACACACACACACACACTCACACACACACACACAAACCCCTTCTGTGCATGTACTTCCAGATCAACCATGACCTGAACCACACAAGAACTGAACAGTGTGGAAAGGAGCAGGAACAGAGGGACCATCTTTGTGTATTCCAAATTGAGAAAATGATCAAAATAATGCAGAATAATTTGAAGGGATGGACATCAGCTAAAAAGTGATGAACAGAGAATATGTTTGCTACCAGCCTACTTCCACAAAGACACAACTCATTCTCTATCTCTGCTGAACAAGGGCAGCCATGTAGAGGGAGGAGAAGCTGGGAAAGACGCTCTGCTCAGTGTGTTTTCTCCTTTTTCCACTCCCAAGACATAGAATTGAAATTAACAATTCAGTAACTTAGCTAAAAGCAGCACATTCTGCAATTTCCACTGAGCTGGTCCCCAATGCACAGCTGCTGTTCCACAGCCAAATGTCAGCAGAGCAGCTGAGCCACGCACAGGCCTGGGAGGGAAAGGGAGAGCTCAGGAGCCTGGAAGGAAAAGGGAAATCTCAGTGCTGACCAAGGAAAATAACAAAATACACCTTCTGTTTGGCTACTTGATGACATGGGGTACGTGGTTTGAGTTTCCTTGTGA